CAAGGAAGCCATGCTGTCGTCTGCAGGGATTGAAATTCCAAGGTGAGGAGGACCCTTCAGAGGCGACCTGAGCCTAAAGCAACTGCATTTTCCCAGGGAACGGCTGAGGACTCTGGGAGTGGCCTTGAGCTTGAGATACAGGGGTGGGCCAGGTGGAGGGCCATTCCAGCAGAGTGTTGGCTACTTGTGTGGCGCTGGAGTGGCCAAACTGGAGACATGAGAGGGCAGGCTGGGTTCCCCTTCCAGACCTGTGCTGACTAGAGAAGGAATTTAAAGATTCTAGATCAGCGGTTCTCAACCTGTGGGTCGCGACCCCTTTGGATGTCGAACAACCCTTTCACAGGGGTCGCCTAAGACCATTGGAAAACAAAAAGATATTTACATTACGATTCATAACAGTAGCAAAATTACAGTTATAGAGTAGCAACGAAAATAATTTTATGGTTGGGGGTCACCACAACATGAGGAACTGTATTAAGGGGTCACAGCATTAGGAAGGTTGAGAACCGCTGTTCTAGATCATCCTAAAGTTCAAACACAGTTTTCCTACAACACTACCAGTTCTTGACTCATTTTTTAAGTAAAATGACAACATGCAGAAGTCACAGGGTATGTGCTCCAGTGGCCAAAGCGCTGGGGGAAAGAACACGTCTTACAGGATTGCTGTGAGAAACGATGTAACATACGGTACAGAGTATTCCGACCAGGTCTAGCGCAATTCCAGAAAGAATAGTGCCTCCCCCCTGCCCCAGCGGAAATTACACATTAACCATGAAAAGCACACCGAGTTCGTTAAAACCTCTAAAGCTCTGCCTCTGTCAGGACTGTCACATCAGTGTGGTGTCGCTGGTTATCTCACATTAATCAGAAATGCTGGCATCTCCTACATTAGGGAGGGAAAAAAGGGAGGAAGACAGAGTGTTAACCAACAGAATTTGCAGAGCCGACGAAGTCTTCCTGACCACGGTGGTGAAAACCTGTAACAGCGATGACAGTGCAGGGCTCAATGGGTTTGGCGACTCGGAAGTTACCACCTAACTCGAGACTCTATTCTTCCGGCTCTCCCTCAAAGGACCTGGGAGGCCAAGCCCCTCTGCCTTCCCCACAGGCAAGGCGATAGCTGGCGGGGATAAATAATCAGCGCTTCTAATTGAGAACACGAGGCATGCAGGCCAACAGCTCAGCGCTGCCTCCGGTTTAATGATGAACAACTGTATGCACTCCTAATTGGAGAGCAGGTATATACGTGCATCGGAGCTTCCCTCCGCATTCCCCTGGGAGAAAACTCTGCAACACTTCACTACATAATTGATGTGACACAGATTTGGGGGACGAGAAGAGCAAGAACACTGCATATCCCACAACCAAAATGACAGGAAGATGTTAGGGGCATTGTTGTTAAAATTGACGCCCCTCTCTCAAAAGTGTGAGGCCAGCTGCAACCTCGAAGCTGCCGACAATTACACCCACCTGACCCATATTACACCCGCCCAGCCCGTACTGTGCCCAGCAAGCCTGGATTACACCTAACAGGTGTGTGAGGCTGATAATAACCCAACACGGATTCAAACCCAAGTGTCTGAATGGCTTACCAGCTAAACAACACTAACCCGCTATCTTAACCCCTGAGCTCTGGCCTCCTCGTCTGTGACGGGCACGCCACCATCTATACCTCTCGGGGTTTCTGTGGGGGTTAGAAATAGCAGATGTAAGCGCTTCCCTGGAGCCTGGCCATTCAGGGGCTGATGAACGGTACCTGTGGTGCTACCAGCGCCACCGTCCTCACTGCTCAGGGATGGTTGTCGGCATCACCGCAGTTACCATTATTGCGGTGTTACCATCACAGAGTTGTTATGACTGTTGTTGATGCTTAAAGATCTCTAGGGGAGTCAGTTCCAAAGGTTCCCCTGGCATAGAAATTTGATATTCCCAGGCCTTGACCATCGGGCTGCCCTGCGTTGTGTCGAACCTAAATTACTTCGTTCTACAGGATGAGCCCATGTTTCTCTAGCTCTGACTTCACCGGTCATAGAATCGCCCTGACCTATAAGCAACCTCTTCAATTAAAGGCGATAATTTACATTTCCATAATGCTTTGAAGTTATCAGCTTAGGGAGTTCAATCCTAGGTCCCCAGCAGGTGGTTCAGAATCACCCCAGGGCTGTCCATCTTTAGCTAAACAATTGGTCACAGCAGGATGTTTCCTGAAGGTCACCAGGAGCGAAACCACTGGACAATGGGCCTAATTGGGTTCACGGCAAATTGGTCAGTCGTTTCTGTGTGAAAACAACAGGCTTTTCTCCCCGCACTTGGGTCCTGTCCTGTCGTGGTCTCCATCCCCCTTTCCCCTCACCATGGGCGCATCTCCAGGAAGCCAGGACACGGGGAGGGAGACAGGTGCGTGGGTTCCGCCTTGAAGGAAGCAGCAGACAACACACGTAGCTGCGCTTGAGGTCGGCTGGAATGCAGACCTCTCGGTGGGGAGAGGGCGGGGCCTGGGTGAGTTTGGGGCATCGCCACCAACAGTATGGGAACAAGCTTCGCATCTAAGAATGCCAAGGAGCTTCTAAAGCGTCCACCCCCATCCTCGGGTGGCGTCCACTCAGGGCCCCATGGCAGGTGCTAGTCGCTCTTCAAGTTCATCCTTTCAACCTGCGAATGCCGTTGGATCCTACGATGTGCCAAGCATTTGGGATGCATCACTGTCCAAAAGGGACAAAAATGCCTGCTGTGGAGCATAGGTTTTACTGGGAGAAGACAGGCAAACAAGCAGAACAAAGAAATGATCAAAAGGCCCATAGGTCCGGCAGGTACGCATGGCAGCAGTAAGGACACCGCGAAAAGCAGAGTGAAGGAGACTGGGTGAGGCAGGATGCACTGGCCCTGCCAACGTCAGGGTCACCTCAGTGGCAGAAGTGCAGCTGCACAAAGGCTTGGAGGAGGTGAGGGGGTGCCGTGCAGGTGGCAGAGGAACAGCATTCCAGGCGGAGGGTGCAGCCAGCGCAGAGCAGGAGCAGGTGTGTGTCCTGAGGACGAGCAGGAGGCTGGTGGCTGGTGAGCGGGAAGGTGGTCAGAGCCGAAGTCAGAGAGGCTCTGAGGGGCTGGGTCACGCGGGGCCTTCGAGGCCTCTCTAGGACTCCGGGTTTTATCTGAGTGGCCGGGGAAGCCATCAGAGGGTTCTGAGGAGTGGCCCGCGCTGAGTCTGTGAGGGTCACTCTGGCTTCTGAGTTGAGGATACGCCGCAGTGGGGCAGGGAGAGCGGTGAGGAGGCTGCTGGGATAATCCAGCAGGAGGCGATGGCGGGAAACTGTGGGGCCGGGAGCCAACAGGCTGTGCTGATGAGTGGAGGTGGGTGTGAGAGAAGGAGGCGAGTCAAGAAGACGCCAAGATTTTAGCCCTGAGCAACTGGAAGAAAAGGTCGCCCTGGCGGAGCAGGGACACGCTGCTGGCAGAGTGGCTTCAGGGAGGACCCGGCACCTCTGAGATGCCCACACGAAGAAGTCGAGTAGGCAGGCATTGGAGTTTCAGAAGAGTCCTCTGGGCTGTGAACTAGAGGTGTGAGCCAGGGGTCGCCGGCTGGTCGGTGCCAGGCCGTAAGATGGAAGAGCCTGCTCATGGGCCGGAAGTTGGTCTCAGTCCCCACCTGGCCACCACACCTACTGCCCAAGGTGGCCGCTTCTCCTCTGAAAAATCAGAGGCAGACGAGCTGATTCCTGGTTTCCGGTGAATCTATGAGCAGACTCTATAAATCAAGACCAACGAGCATCGTGATCGTTCGAGGCCACTATGCTTGTGGCAACTGGTGCCAGGTGACTTGGGCTGCCAGGGACTCTAGGACCTAGAGTCTGGAATCCACGGCAAGGAGCCCTGGGGGAGTTAAATGATTTGCCCCCATTTGCCACCATTCACCCCGTTGAAATTGCTCTCATCAGAGGTATCAATGACTCATTATCAGCCACCTGGTCCCTCAAACCAGAAACGTAGGAACCACCCTTGAATCTTCCCTCTTCCTTATTCGTTGCCCCCATTCCTAAGTATTGCTCGAATCTATCCTCCTCACCGTGCCCCCACACGCTCACACAGCGTCAGGTCCTCCAGGTCTTTTATTGTCTGGGGAGCGGGGAGATCTGAACTGTCTCAGTAGCCATCAAACCCCATCTCCAGGCCTCTAGCCCCGCCTCCTCCTCCATCCGTCCTCTGTGATGCTCAGGAAGTTTGGAAATAAAATATGTAAAGAGCCTATTACAGCACCTGGCATGGGGGCAGGCACTAGATAAATGGAGCCCCTAAGATAATTAGTCTCCTCTTGGAAATATATTTCAGCGCCTTCTAAATTTTGTTCACACGGACACTGCTGCATATTAGCCGAAATGCTTTCCTCAACAATAGCTGAAGATGATTAGCGAGCAAGATCATAACAGGAATTTTAAGCAATCATTTAAATTAATTTCTGAGAAGCCTATGCAGAGCCCTTCAAACTGAGTCCTTTCTGGCAGAGCCTCACCAGTTCCCATAAGCACATGCAAATCAGCACTCCAAGCTTCCCATTTTTACTGCCAGATTGTTTTTCACTTTCTGGAGGGACAAACCACAGCCCTGCTATCACGGCATCGAGGGAGCGCCTCGCTGGCAGGGAGGGGACCTGAGCAGCTTCATTCCCGCCCCTGTTCTGCCCCACGAGGCACGAGGCACGGAGCCAGATACTCCGTGGACGGGCAAACGGCGCATCAGTGAACTCTCTGTTTGGAAAGTTGAGCTATCAAAACCCGGCCACATTCATATCAAAAGTATCTCTGAAGAAAGTTAGTTGCCAAAGACATATTTGGCCCAAAGAATCCCTTTAAATTGTTAGACGATGCCCGGAAACAGGTCTGCTTTGTCCTGGAATAAACCCTGACTGGAAACCTAACACCTCTCCTTTGAAGCACGTTAGGACAACAAAACAACCCAACTTCCTGGGCAAGGAAAGCAGCACAGACACAGAGACCCCACCCTCCTACCTTTCTGAAGTCCTGCGCTTGAATTTTGCCGTGAAGTTCCCTGCTGAACTCAAGAAATCGTTGTTTGAACGTGGGGTCCTGCTGCTGGATACAGTGTCTGAGTTTTTCCATAACTTCCTCCGTGGTCATGCTCTTGGTCACGCTGCCTGCGTCCTCGGTGGGCACGGTTCTACGATCACGAGCAGGCGTTTAGACCCGGCACAGCGCTCCCTACGGACCTCACCCATTTTCGATTCAACCCACGAACACAAGAAGGCTCACCATCCCCTAATCACAAACGAGCAAACAGGAGCTCAGATAGATGGAGTGACCTGGGCGCTTCTCACACACCCAGGGCTTGCCAGTGCCGGCGCTGGAACCGGAGGCCAGCGGCACCGTGTCAGGTAACGCTCTTCCTGGGGCCATGAGGTGGCAGGCTGCGGGGGGGCGGGGCTGCAGGAACACTGCCAACCCTGCGCGAAGATGTTCACCTGTGCGCTGAGCTGGCTGAATGTGGCATGTGACTGGGCAGGCATGGCTAAAACGGGATACTTTGGTGATCTGGGAAAATGAAAAGTCAGGACCCATTATAAAGGTTTAGATTCAACTGGCCATTTTGGGAGAACCAGGTCCCAGAAGTCATCACACATCCATGGGAAGGAGGGGACGGCCACAGCTCTTTCAAGCTGGTTTACAAAATCAACTTAATTTATAAAACCCAGACTCTACGTGATGTGCTGTGTGTGCGTGTGAGAGGGTATGTGTTATTGGAGAATAATTATTTCTTCAGCTCTGCAGAAGTCTCTTGGGCCCTGTTTGGGGTGGGGGTGGGGACAGCCATGAGCTAGCCACGGAGAACGAACTTCTATCCTTGCCTGCTGACGATCTTAAGAGCTCTCCAGGAATGCCCACATTTTATGAAATGCTCACTTGCCATTAATTCTCTCACTGGTTTTAGGAGGCAGACATATCTCATCACTGAATATTTAACCTTTCTCTTAAAATATCTTTCTGCCCATTTATAAAGCAGCTACTACTGAAATGCCCAGATATTCAAATTTCATTAGCATAGCATTAAAATAGTCCCATTGCTCTATACTTAAGAACTTTTTAAAAATGGATATGCTAAAGCGAGGTCTGCTGAATACGTCCATGTTTTACCTTTCCTTGTGGATTTATTATAAGCTACGAATAAGCAAGTTAAACTAATATCTTTTCATTAGACTAAGCCTGTATTTTTCAAAGTGAAGAAGGGCTAGAATATTCACCAGTCCAATTTTTAATAGATTTCCTAAGTATGTTTTATTGTTACAATTCAATTTGGCAATCATTTTAATAACCCGATCGTTCATGTTAGAGAATGTTAACTGGTTTAAGAGGGTGTATTTTGCAATAAATATTAAACAGTGGAAGGAAGCTGAGTTTCTGGGGAAAAATGGGTGTGAATGCGAGTATGTAACAGCTGAGTGGCAGGCCGGTTCTCTGGGAGCTGAGAGTCCTGTCCGTGACCCAGGAAGGCCACTGTGTTTGTGGGTTACCTGAGGCAAGTCCCCAAACCTCTCAGGCCTCAGTGCTTTCATTTCCAGAATTAACGGGTCAGTTCAGCAATTCCTAAGGTCTCTGCTTGTTTTAAAATTCCCTGACTCTAATCATTGTACTGATAGTTTGCCATCTCTTTCGTATTTAAATAATAAAATATTAATACACCCATTTAGTCAACAAATATTTACTAACTGCCTTTGCACAACAGGCGCTGTGCTTTTCCTACGTGTTCCATTCGGCGTTGTTTTACCTCTCAGCAGGCGCCGGCTGCTGCTCCTGTGCGCTTAGCGGCCGGTCCTTAGGGGCGGTCACAGGGAAGATGGTGGGCGGCCCACCGACTCCGATGCCCGCCAAGAGTTTCTTGTAGACGATTCTTCCCGAAGCCACATCCTGAAACTTATTGCAGAGTCTGAATTTTTAAAAGAATCAGAACACGCCCATTAGAATGGATGAAATTTAAAAAGACGGGCCCTGACGAGCGCTGGCGAGGATGTGGGTAACTACAGTTCTCCCCCACTGCTGGTGGGTGTAAAACGGGGAAGCCACTTTGGAAGACGGTCTGGCAATTGAATACACACTTACCGTAAGCGCCACCTGTCCCACCCCCTAGGCATCTACCCAAGAGAAACAAAATGTCTGTCGACACAAAAACCTTGTACAATCTGGACAGCCATGCTTGTAAATAACCCAAACTGGAAACAGACCAAATGCCCCTCAACCAGTGAATGCATCCACAAGGTGTAGAAAGACCACTCAGCAGAACACTACTCTGCAGTGAAAAGGAACCGAGTGTGAATACACAGGACAGCATGAATGAACCTCAAAATCATCATGCTTGGTGAGTAACACCTGACCAAAAATAAAAGAACATCGTGTATGCTTTCATTAGGGAAAACCCTAGAAAATGCGAAGTAATCTGTTGTCACAGCTGATGAGTGGTTTCTAGGGGGTGGGGTGAATTGGAAAACAGCACAAAGAAGCTTTAGGGGGGGGGATGAGGAAAATGCTGATATTGGGACTGACAATTTCAAAGGGAGTAGATAATGATAAACTCCATAAAGCAAAGACGCTTGAGGTCCTCAATAATTATTAAGACGAGAAAGGGGTTGAGGACCGCCGACCTGGGGCCTGTCACTTACCTTTTTGCACCCCAGTACAAAATGCACATAATAAAAGGACTGACACCTCAGAGAGTTGCTGGAAACCTCAAGTCAGAGGGTCCACGGAGAGCCCGTGGCGCTGGGGCTGGCAGGCTCTGTGTCTGCGTGCTCAACAAACTGAAGCTGTGATAATAGTGTCACGAGAGCATGATGATGATTTACGTACAACGAGGGGTCAAAGCACCAGCTTGGGAGCCACACATCACTCAGTAAGCGCTCACGGCTATTACAACTGCTCTGACGACTATGGATGCTTCTGTGGACTAAACACCGTGCTAAGTATTATAGCTACAACTATCAGCTCCGATCACATGGAGCCAAGTGACTGGGAAACTGGTCGTTCAGAACCGAGGGTAAAGGTCACCTAAGAGCCCAGAGGCAGGACAGCCGGGGGTTGTCACCAAATGGGAAGCAGCTCAGTTTAGCGGAGCTGACAGCAGCGGGAGTGGACACAGCAAATGTGTACTGAGAACAACCCGTGGGCCGGGCACTGGGTAAAAGGCTTTCTGTCCATCCGCTCATTTGATCCTTACCACAGCTCTCGTAAGTAATATTTGAATGAGGAAAGAGAGGCTCAGAGAGGTGAAGGAAGGACGTCGCCCAAGTTCACAGCTAGTTCAGGGCCGGGCAGGCAGTCTGGCTGAGGCGCCCCAGCTCTGGAGCGGTGCGAGGGTCACCAGGGGCCTGGGCAGCCACGCTCTGGTAAGAGCGGCTGGACGGTTTCCTAACAGCAACGGGACACCCAGGGTTTTAAGCTGGTGTTAATGTGGTCAGATTTGTAGTTTAGACGGATAAAGTTGGCTACTTAATGGAGTAGAGAGGTTTCCATCCCAAATACCTAATTGCCTGCATGACCAATACATTAGATTTCATTCATTCATCCATTCATTCATTGTCCAGTTAGGAAACAGAAGGAATAAGTGTGTGTGTGTGTGTGTGTGTGTGTGTACACACCGGAAGGAGACTCCAGGAGGACGTGGGGCCCAGAGCGGAGTCTGCGCTGAGCTGCGACTCTGGGGTCCTCATTATATCTACAGTGTGTTCATTTATCTGGGGGCAGATGGTAGACCGTCCAAGGTGAGAGGGCTGTCCATGGGTAGGACGTGGCAGAACAGCTCGAGCTAACCAGTGGACCCATGCAGGACAGGCACAGGGGCCGTCCCATGCTGTCCTCTCCTTTCTCTCACCATCCCTGTTTCCTGCCAGCTTTGGCTCATGCACCGCAAGTGTTAAACCAAAATATAACTCACGCCACCATTTATAAAATGGCTGATCACAGCCGGACGCCCCGGGAGGTAACAAGTATATCGATTATGAGCACAGGCGTCAGGGAGACCCAGGATGGAACCCAGGCTCCGCCACTTACTAGCTGTGTGGCTAATGTCTTCAGGCCTCAGTCTCCTCATCCATGAAAAGAAATAATAGCTCCTTACATGGCTGTGGTGAGGACGAGGTCATACAACCTATGCCAAACTCTCGACGAGCATCCAGTGTTGGGAAGGACTCAATAAATAGTAGCTATTATCAATATTTCCTATTAATATTGCAAACATGTGCAGAATTATAAAAATAGGCTTGATGAAAAACATAACGTGAATTAATTTGTTACCAAAAAAACTTACTTTGATAACTGTTCCATCGTTAAAAGTGGGCAGAATATGTGCATGATTTTCTTGAAATTACTTCGACCAATGAGCCCTGTGTCTTTGAAGTCATAGGACTGTAGCATATTATAGAAAGCTACAAGATTCCTAGTAATGGCGTCATGAACAATTTCTTCCACCTAACAGAAAAAAAAAACCAAACATATTCACCAAGCTGCACAACTGTAACCCGGGGTGGTAGCCCCCTGGGAGCACCAAGGAAAGCATTATTTACTGAATTCCACACCAAAAGGAGAGGCGCCCTGGTGTCTGTACAGGAGGCCAGGTTTCCTGTTTAATTGGGGAAGAGAAAGTTTGTCAATACAAATTACTCATAGGAGCTCTGAAGGCGACGAACGTGGACTGTCAGCTTTGCTCCTAATTCACCAATGGCTCTGAGACCTTGAGTAAGTGGGTTTGCCTGCTAACCTCAGTCTGGAAGTGGGAATAATAACATTGAATTTGCACTTATTTTAAAACAAAGTACAATAAACATGAAAAAAATCCATCACCTAGAAATGAAGTAAATGCAAAGCGAAAGGATAACGAGATGGCATTTTTTGCCTATCAAAATGGCAAAAATGAAAAAGGAAGCAAATTGCCAGTGTCGACAAAGAATAATATTAGATAATTTGATAATCTACAGACTCTAGAATAACAGTGACTGCCTCTGGGGAGGAGCTAGGGAACAGAGATAGAAGGAACACTCATTCTCACTATTTCCCTTTTGCATCTTTTGCATTTTGTACTTTATACATATGTTCTTCTTTAAAACAATTAAAATAAAATTTCAAATAAAATATATATAGAAGTTTGTACTAAAGGAATAATCATAGAGTGACACAAAAAATGCAGGTGGTAAGATTTGATATTCATTGTAGCAAAATGGATAAAAGGAGAAATAATGAACACCTAGATTATAACACCAGGAAACAGTAACTCTGTATTTTAAAAAATTATACAGATATTTTGTTTCCATTAAACGTTAACATGTTAATAAATGAGAACATAGACTAAAAAGGCATTAATTATATGATCTCATTTTAAAATAGATATTCTATATGAAAGTATGTATCCAACTCATCAAATTGCATACAGGAAATATGTACAGTTTGGGTATATTAATTATACCTCAATAAAGCTGCAGAAAAAGAAGTATGTGTGCATAGGTATATAGGTTTGGAAGAATATATATACAACAAAGCACAAGAGTGGGTAACACTTCCTCGATGCTTTTTATTTGCTTCTCTTGTCATATCTGTGTTTTCTCATTTTTCTCATTCATTCATTCATATTGACGCATTCACTCACCGGATCGTTTTGTGACTTTGCCGGGCACTGGGCTCTCTCCTGCAGTAAAATGGGTGGGGAAAACAGGAAAACCTTTGTCTTCACGGAGGCGTGACCACAAAATGAAAAAAAATATGACACCGTGACTGCAACAGGTGTGTGAGGTTGATGACTGGAAGAGAGGTTTCTTCAGAGGTGTCAGTGAGGGTCCCTGGGCAGAGGTGTCCGTGAGGGTCCCAGTCCCTGAGACTGGGAGGATGGGCCCATGAGGCAAGAGGGGAGGGAAGGCAATGCTGGTACCAAGCAGGGAGGACGGAGCCTGCAGGGCTGATGGGAGTGGGTTTTATTAAGCAAAGATCACTCTGCTTGCAGATTGCTTACTTGTCTATAGTTATGGTTTCCAAGAAAAAAGATGGCCATGCGTGAGGTTTCTGTGATGGTCAGAGGTGATGATTCTCAAGAGCTAACACAGTGCCTGTCACACCGTGGAATTCAGGAAAAGTCATTATTCATTTCTCTGTGCAAAAGGGCTCTGGGACTTTTGAATTGAAGTTCAAAAGGACCAAATGACACGGGTTTAAGATGTGGCTATTAAGCCTTGCACAGACGGGCACTCCAGAAATCATAACATTAAACTGGAAAGCTAATGTGTAGTTGCTAAAAGAAGTCTTAGACAAACATTTCAATAAAGACTCTGTTAATGCCTAGTGCCTGCATTATCTGAAGCCAATGTGATTTTTTTTTAAAGTTCATAAAATTTTTAAATGCTAATAGCCATTAAAGCTACGGAAGCATTTCTGATCATAAAACTGTCAAATTTTCGGTCAAAGGAACAAACACTAAAAGCAAGTGTTAAGTCACTAGAGGCAATGAGCAGTTATTTTTTTTAAAAGGTGAACTCCCGTAAAATTCTAAAAATACTGGTGAGACCAGAGGAGCAGCAATTCACAAACTTGCCTCTCTGAGACATGGTAAGTAGTAAGAGGGGTGCAGCCGAAGAGCCTGGAAAAGAAGGCACAGCCTGCACAAAAGGCGCCATCATTCAGGGGTGGGTTTGCAGAAATGCCACATATCACCCTTCAATATGATTTTGAAATTAAAAATTAAAACCAAACATCACTGGGCTGGCCAAGTGGCGTGATGGTTAAGAACTGGCTTGGGATGCCAGAGGGCCCCGGTTCGGATCCCACATATGAGGGCCAGTGACACTGCCCTCCACAGCTAAGATGCTGAACAACAGCTCAACCTGGAGCTGGGCTGCCATGAGTCGCCAGCGACGGCAAGTATTTTGCCATGGGCTACCGTGTGTAGCCAGCAGCCAGCGTGAGTGGCCAGCAGCCGCCGTGAGCGGCCGTCCAGAAGCTGGTGACTGATCTGCCTCACCCGGGAAGAGCGCAATGATGGTGCCAACTTGGGCCAGTGAAGCGACGTCCTCCACAACTAGATTGAAGAACAAAATGACAGCAACTTGTCTGTTTCCCTTCCCCCAATTCCCCAGCGCTGAAAAAATCTTTAAAAAACAAACAAACAAAAGCCAAACATCACTTTTACTTAAAAATGAAAAGTAATGCAGCTGAAAAGCGTGACGTCATTCATTTATTTAAACCGTATCTTCCCGTCATCTCTTATTTTACTAAGAATACTTCTTCAGTTTCCTGCCATGAATAGAAAATCAAATGTGACGTTGTTAGAGCACTTACTTTAGGGTCCTCCTGGAGCAGCTCAATGAACGCTCGGACACTAACCAGTCCAGTGTCCTTGGGGTCAAGCGTCTGCATCAGTTCTTTGAATTCTGAATCACTTATTTTTATGAACATGCAATTTATAATATGGCGCAATTCTTCCCCTGTTATCGGTCTATCCAGTTTCTAAGCATGAGAATATAGAGAGGGAATTTAAAAAAGAAAAAAGGAAAAGCATTACATACATTTAGCATCACTTACTAAACAGCGAGCTTTAGCTAAATCGAATTCTGATAGGAAACAAGAATACCTTAATGGATAACCATTAGATACCATAGGCGCAGAGAGCAGTGGGGGTGGGGAGTGGGGAGTGGGGAGTGTTAGAACTTTGCAAGTACAGCTCCTACAATGTTCTCCATAGGGACATGGGCAGGAGATGACCCCAAGGGAGGAAAGGGGCTGATTTTTCAAGCATGGGTTGACCCCCTTCTCTGGGACAGGCTAAATGCCAGCTGTCACAGTTGGCTTGACTAGTTCCTCCTGCTCCAACCCCACCTGAGAGCTGTGTGGCTCAGTCACGTGGGAAGCAAAACTTCCCGGCAATTTAATTACAACTTGCCAATTTGCTAAGAATATTATGCTTGTTTTCACTACCATCAACCTCATCAATTACATAAATGGACAATTACTTAGTGAGAAAAATTTCAGCCATGCTGCATAAAGAAAACACATGAGCAAAATACTGAGAGGCAAACTTCTTCCCCCAGAGTAAAACATTACCAATAAGTAAATTAAATGGCAAAATTGAGAGATGCTGTTTACCAGAAAATCAGGGGAAATAAATAACTCCTACCCCATTGCCAGATAGTATGAATATTAATGTGACAAACAGGCTTATTAAGTGATAAAGCAGTGTATAAATGTCAACTATTACTTTGGGGTCCAAAATCTGAAAAGGATATAAGATTCTCTTGGGGAAAATTAAGTAATTTAGAGAGTATGTGCATGCTTCCTTTTTAGTTTGGGAGTGATAATCAATTTGTGTCTAAATAGGATTTGTTGACAACTAATTTTTTGTGATTTTTTTCAATAAATTTATAGCATTGTGCAACCATCACCACTATCTTTTCACCAAAAGAAACCTCATGTCCATTCGCAGTCACTCCCCATTTCCATCCCCAGCCTAAGGCAACTAATCTATTTTCCGTCTCTCTGTATTTGCTTTTTTCTGGATGTTTCATATAAATAGAATATCATATGTGCATCTGTACGTATCTTGCATCTGGCTTCTCTCACTTAGCATAATGCTCTTGAGGTTCATCTATGATGTAGCACAGATCAGTATTTTGTTCCTTTGTATTTCTGTTACTAACTCCATTGTATAGATATGCACACTTTTTAAAAATAATATTTTTATTTTTCAATTACAGTTGACATATAATATTAGTATTATATTAGTTTCAGGTGTACAACATAGTGATTAGAAATTTACAAGTGTATAGCTTACGAAGTGATCACCTCAATAAATCTTACCCATCTGACACGATACAGTTATTACAATATTATTGACTATATTCCCTATACTGTATTTTACATGACTATTTTGTAACTACCAACCTGTAGTTCCTAAACGTTTCCCCTTTTTCACCCATCCCCCAACCCTCTCCCATCTGGCTGCCATCAAAATGTTCTCTGTATGTATGAGTCTGTTTCTGTTTTGTTTATTTTATTTTTTTAGGTTCCATGTATAAGTGAAATCATATGACATTTGTCTTTCTCTGTCTGACTTATTTCACTTAGCACAATACCCTCTAGGTCCCTCCATGTTGTTGCAGTTGGGAGGATTTCATTCTTTTTTATGGGATGTACCACACTTTGTTTATCTTGTCACAAGTTGTACACTTGGATTGTTTCCAATTTGGGAAGTATGAATAATTGTGAAAATTTGCACACAAGTCTTTGTATGGACATTATGTTTTTATTTCTCTTGGGTGGATACCTAGTAACCTCTGGGTCATGTGGTAAATTTCTGTTTAAATTTTAAAGAAACTACCATGTTTTTTCTGCGTGGCTGCCCCATTTTGCATTTCCACCTGCACTGTGTAAGAGTTCCATCGCCACATCCTCATCAACACTTATCATTGTCTAAGTGGGTTGATTATAGCCATGTATAATCAAGCGTGAAGTGGTATCTCATTGTGGTTTTGATTTGCATTTCCCTAATGTCTAATGATTTTGAGCATCTTTTCATGTGCTCCTTGGCCATTTGTATATCTTCTTTGATAAATTATCTATTAAAATCTTTTGCCTATTTTTTACATTGGATTGATTCTTATTAAGTTCTAAAGAGTTTTTATATAGTCTATATCCAGATCCTTTACTGGATATATAATTTACATTATTGTCTCCTAGTCTGTGGCCTGTTTCCTCACTTTCTTAATGGTTTCTTCTGAAGCCCAAAAGTTTTTAATTTTGATAAGTCAAATTTATTGTTTTTCTTTTACGGATCATGCTTTTAGTGTCATATCTAAGAAATCTTTGCCTCACACAAGGTCACAAAGATTTACGCATATGTCTTCTAAGAGTTTTATCATTTTAGCTCTTATGTTTAGTTCTAGGGTCCACTATTAGTTAATTTTTGTGCATGGTGTAAGGTAATTCATCTTTTTGCATGTGGATATCTAATTGTCTCAGCACCATTTGTTGAAAAGACGATCCTTTCCCCCAATGAATTTATCAAAAATGAGTTGACCGTAGTGTAAGAGTTTATTTCTGTACTTAGTTCTGCCCCACTGATTAAAATGTCTATCCTGATGCCAGTACCACACTGTCTTGATTACTGTAGCTTTCTCCTAAGATTCCAAATCTGGAAGTTAAGCCCTCTCTCTAACTTCATTCTTTTTTCTCAGGATTGTTTTGGCTATTCTGTGACCTTTGCATTTCCATATGAATTTTAAGATGAGTTTTTCAATTGTTGCAAAAAAAGCCAGCTAGGATTTTGATGCGATTTGCATTGAATTTATACATCAATTTGGAGAGAAATGCAATCTTAAGAATATAGTTTTGCAATCCATGTATATGGACTGCCTCTTCATTTATTTACATCGTTTTTGGTAATTTTAAGTGTACAAGTCTAGCACTTCTTTTGTTGAATTTATGCCTAGGTATTTTATTCTTTTTGATGCTATTGGGAATGGAATTGCTTTCTGAAGTTCATTTGCAGATTGTTCATTCTTGGTTTATAGAAATATAACTGATTTTTGTATATTGATCTTATATCTCACAAACTTGACTCATTAGTTCTAGGTGTGTGTGTGTGTGTGTGTGTGTGTGTGTGTGTGTGCGCGCGCGCGCGCGCGCAGTTCTTAGAATTTTCTATTACAACATCATGTTGTCTGTAAACAAAGACAGTTTTCCTTTTTCCTTTCTAGTCTGGATGCCTTTCATTTCCTTTCTTTCCTGATTGCTTATCCAGAACTTCAGTACAATATTGAACAGAAGTAGCAAGAGCTGACATTCTTGTGCTTTTTCTGATCTCAGAGGAAAAACATTCAGTCTTTTACCATTAACCCTGCTGTGAACTGTGGGTTTATCGTAAATGCCCTTTATCTGATTAAGGAATTTCCCTTCTAGTCCTAGTTCGTTGAAAGTTGTTATCATGGATGAGAGTTGGATTTTTCAAATACTTTTTCTGCATCTTTCAAGATGATCACGCAGTTTTGTCCTTAATTCTATTAATATTATGTATTACATTAATTGATTTGGTGAAGAGTTAAACCAACCTTGCAGTCCTGGGATAAATCCCACATGGTCATAAGATTCAATCCTTTTTATGTTTCTGGATTCGGTTCACTAACATTTCATTGAGAATTTTTGCAACTATATTCAAGAAGAATATTGGTCTGTAGTTTTCTTTTCTTGTGATCTCTTTGTCTGGGTTTGTTATCAGGGTAATACTGGCTTCAGAGAATGAGTTGCGAAGTGTTTCTTCCTCCTACATATTCTGAAAGCCTGTGAAAGACTGGGGTTATCCCTACAAACGATCTTTACAGTCCTCAATGTACAGCATTTGCAGGTGTTTTGTTAGGTATATTTCTAGGTATTTAATTTTTAAAAATATTATTAGAAATATTTTAAAAATCCTTCTTTTTCTAGTTGCTTATTACAGTTTATAGAAATATCATTCATCTTTGCATATGGACCTTGTATCCAGTGACCTTCTAAAATCTATTATTAATTCTAATATTCTTTTGGAAGATTCTCTTGGACTTTCTATTTATAAAATCATGTGAGCTGCAAATAACACAAAATAAGAGTCGGTGAACAGGCAGGGTACAAACCGTTTCTGGGTGACAGAGAGTGAGCCACACCTCATTTAAATGTTAAGTGATTTTGGGCCCTGGGTGCACGTGGGGTGACTGGCAGCAGCGTGTGGAGGCAGCACCTAGAGCTACATGGGCGTGGGACTTGGAGCAGGTGGAAAGCAGATGTGCCCCTCTCTACAGCAGGAGAGGGACCTGTCTCCATGGCTGTCCTCGCAGCCAGGCCAGACGCCCGCCCCTGCCTACTTCCCATCTCTCCCTCGGCTCTCCTTCTCCTTCCGGTGTGGGGGTGCATCCCACTCGGAAACCTTGGCTCTGCACCTCTAAGGCGTTTGACGGTCGCTGCTGTTCTGTGACCCTCCAGAGGGTGAGCTCGTCTCTGGCTGGGACCGCGCGTTAGCACCGGTGTCTTCAGCCGCAGGGCCCAGCGTGGTGGGCACCATTCCTCCCCTGCACCACCCCTCTACTGACCTCTAGTCCAGCGTTTCTCAACCTTCCTAATGCCGCGACCCCTTAATACAGTTCCTCATGTTGTGGTGACCCCTAACCATAAAATTATTTTCGTTGCTACTCTAGAACTGTCATTTTGCTACTGTTATGAATCGTAATGTAAATATCTTTTTGTTTTCCAATGGTGTTAGGCAACCCCTGTGAAAGGGTCGTTCGACCCCCAAACGGGTCGCGACCCACAGGTTGAGAACCGCTGCTCTAGTTGAACAGCACGTCAGTGACGTTAGATAGTCTAATATTTGGAGCGATTAGCACGATTACAGTCCTCCATTAACAGAGCGGAAGGTTTCCCTATTTTTAATTAAATTGCTTCCTCAGCACACTAATAGGAATGAGCTGAGGTGGGTGCACACGCAAAGCCCTCATCCGCCAGCGAGAGGCAGCCCAGCCAGCACGCTCCAGGGCGCCTCCGCCCGGGGCTGACAGCTGCTCTGGGGCCGCTGTGGGAATCTGGCTCCGCCATCACTAGCGGGAGCCACAGGCTGCTTACTTCACCCCATGCTCCTGCTTTTCTCAGCAGATGAGGATGAAATGCAAGGACTGAATGAAGCTAGTAGCAGTATCGACCCCACGGAGGTGCTGAGGCTGAAGTGAGTGAAAACAAGTACATCACTCAAGACAGTGCCAGGTCCACAGTCAGAGCTCACTATTACTGTTCATTTAGAGGCCAAGTCAGGCTGGCCTAACAATGAATTACAAACAGGAATGCGAGCGGAAAGGTCTCCCAGGACACAGAGCCCCAAATCTCTGAATCCACACTGTGCTCGGAAACCCCAAGCAATGGCACTGTAGATCGACAGGTGAGGAGCTGCAGTCGCCAGAACAGACAGCAAACCGCCACACTGCTAAGTCCCCCGCAGGCCTTGTGGGCTCCCCAGAGCCCTGCCCTACTGTGCACACTGCCCTAGTCAGCGGGCTCGGGAAGCCTGACGCTGAGGCCAAGTCGCTCCTCTCTGTCTGCGGCCATATTAGAATCTGATGGGAAATAACTCACTCACTCCGGCTGTTTATTAGGGATCCGGTTGTTGAATGTGCTGAGTACACAACGGACCTGGGAAATGTCGCTGTGTATAAAAAAATACCCCAATGTTGCTTTTCTAAAATAAACATTAAAGTGGGACAGGAGCTAAGGTTTAAAAGCAAGTTGCAAAATTCATGAATTAGCCTCCCTTTGCAGTACAATTAAACAAGTAAATAGGCTATTCAGGAACCAAGAAAATGTTCCCATTATGGGCTACACATTGGGTATAAACCCATAAACTCTGGGTTGAGGGGGAATAGATTCAGCAGGTCTGGATTACTCATTAATTAAACAGTTAATTAGGACTGGTCACTCCATTCTTAACAATCTCACTACACACTGATCTCATCCCCTGGCGTGTATCTTACTGTATCGGAATAGGTCTCATGTCATCTGTCCTCCCAACTAGATCCAACTCTGGAGGCCAGGCCTTGTATCCTTAAGCACTTGAAATAATTCCTAGCATATAATAGGAGCTCTAAAACATGTTTGTTGGATGGATGAATGAATGATTATACAGTTTTTATTGGTCTTATTCTAGTATTCTTAGGAATAATGAGTTTTTCACCAGAAAATCTTACAGTGTTAAGGATCAGTAGTGCTTTCTTCAATAACATGTAGTGATCATCATGTCTAAGTAACTTGGTGACAATATTTTCCTTGCGAGATTGATTTGTAGAGTTGGTACTACAAGATGATTAAGAGAAAAACAGGAATAAAATTACATTCTTGAATTTGGTTCTTTCTTAATGCAAAAAAACCCAAAAAACACCAAAAAACAAAACATCACCCTCCCAACAAGAATGCTAACCCTTTCTTTGTGGATGGCTTTTCCCTGAAAGTGGAATGTGTGTGCAGGCCCCCTCCATCCCTCCGTCAGTGTGACACCTAGTAAGGGAGGCGGCATGGACACAGGTCCCCCAGGCGTCACTTAGCTCTCTGTGCCAGCACTCGCCTCTTCCCAAGCCAGCTAGCGGTGGCCAGTCTTCTGGCCAACCCGTGACTGGGTCTCAAAAAAGACCAGGACAACACCACGCCCACTGCTGAGACCATCACTGCCCTGTGTGGGCGGCACAGTGCAGCACACTCACCCGCGTGAAAACTGAGGGCACACGTTTCCAGTTTTAACACAGTGGGGACATCAACCTTCACAAGCTCCCTCTCTTTGGTGACAATGGCCATGACCATCTATGTTGTCAGAGCCCTCTCCCCAGCTGGTCTCTTGTTTTCATCCCGAGCTCGCTCGGGTCCATCACCTGCATGTGTGCTCTGAAGGCTATGGTCACCCATGCTGGAGGTCAAGGTCAACTTCCCTATGGACTCTAACCAGAAAGGACGCTGCAGAAGCTCAATAAAATACTACCCCTTTAGTGTCAATTAGATAGTTTAGCATTTCCTACTAAATAAAGAATGAGAGTGAATCAGTTCTCCTGCCAAACGATTCTCACATTTGTTTGGGAGATTTTGCTCCTGCACATAGAGAGCCATCTTAGCTTCCTCCAGTTGTGCAAAAACATATAAACACACACACACACACACACCCCTATCACCACTTTTTCTTTTTTTAAGGAGGGCACAGTTCACAGTGGCCCATACAGGGATCAAACTGGCAACCTTGGTGTTATCGACACCACACTCTAACCAACTGAGCGAACTGGCCACCCCCTACTACCACTTTTAAGAAACATATAAAGTAGGGGAATTCTTGAGTCTCAGTTCCTCATGTGACTCATTGGAACCAGGTTTTTCAAGAGCCCACTAGCACTGGCAAAATGGATGCTTTTTGCAATATTTTTATCCACCTCAGTACCACTGACACTGGGCCCAGCAGTTCTTTGTTGTGTGTGTTTGGGGGTGGGGTGCTGTCTGGTGCACTGTGGGATGTTTAGCAGCGTCCCCGGCCTCCACCCACTACTATTGGTAGCACCCCACCTCAGCTGTGACAATCAAAAATGTCTCGTGGGTGACCAGTTAGCTCAGTTGGCTAGCGTGTGGTGCTGATAACACCAAGGTTGCCAGTTCGATTCCAGCATGGGCCACTGTGAGCTGCGCCCTCCTTAAGAGTCAACTATGCCATTGTAGCATGAAAGCAACGTGTAACCAATGACCATGGCTGTCCCCCCTCCCCCCCAAAAAAAATGTCTGGTGACTTTACTAAATGTCTCCTGGATGGCCAAGGTTGCTCCCAGTTGAGAACCACTGTTTGAATGTGAATGAAATTCACATTTTCATTCTTACCTGGACAAGGTGCTATCAGGCAAGAAAATCACTAAGCAGCAGAAGTGGCTTTGATGGAGGCAGGAGTTCACAGAGGCGCCTCCCAGGGCGGGGGAGGGGCGGCTCTGCATGCCGGGAGCAAGGCTGCTAACCAGGCGGTCCATCAAATATTCATAACTCCCCAGGCTGGGAGTGGACCCATGAAACGGGGATTAACTCTGCGGTGTATTTCACTTTACAATAGGGCACTGCGCTTTCAGTGAACGTGCTGAGATTATAAAGCCTGGGTTTTTGTTTTCTTTAAGATTTATACGGTGCAATCAATACAGGACGCTCAGCAGCATAAACAAAATACTTCTTAGAGCAAAGTCTAAATTCTAAATTGTCATGTGAGTAAGTGCTGTTTCACATTTTGGGGCCCCCGCCACATGTGATCATGTAAACCTGAAGTTACAACAGACACATTAGAAGGAAAACAGAAATGATGGCGTTCGCGGTGATGATTCCGTGACTCAAACGGTCTGCACCGCGCGGAGGGGGGCTGGGCAATCCGCTGACACCCAGCGCTCCGTTCCATCCAACACGTAACAAATACAAGTTCACATGGTTTCACAGGAAGCCGTTTAATCCTCAGGCTGACGCTAGTGGGGCGGGGTGGGGTGCAGTGCGCATGCCTAGAAGATTGGAGCCCTGGTTCTACCTCTCGCTGAGCACATGACCTGAAGACCTCCTGTAGTCTTATTGTTTCATCTAGAAATTGGAGTCATACCTATCCCTACTTGATAGAGTAAGGCAATTCTAAATAAGAAAAACGTATGGGAAATAATTTGTAAACTGCAAATCACTATGTAAAAGTTTATAATTATTCAGTGCAGACTAATTTGTTACCCAATAAATGAAGTCACAGTAACTCAGACATTCTCTAACCTTTTACATGTTATGGCATGTGTAACTAGGACTCAGTTCTCTTTTTTACGTACCTGGTTTTTTTGGTCATGGGAATTGAATTGTTAACTTCCAACCACGGAGGCTCGTACAGTGACGTCAGAAATTGCTTCCAATTGACTTTGCTGGTGGTGTGAAGTCCAAATCTGGATTTAAGAAAACAACACAGAATTATTTAAACGTTATTTCTACAACGTCGCATGGATTAGATGTTCAGTATTGAATTGAAAAACGGCAGCAATGGATTTATATGAAGTTTCAAATCTAAGGTAAATAAAATAATTTAGTAAAATAGTATTACAAGTTGATTTTTAAAAAGCAAGGAGAAATTAAACCGATTACACATTTTCATGTCTCTCTATTCCATTAGTACGAGCATACGCTGAAGGAAGAAACAAAGGGATTTGATTAAAATTCTAATGTCCGTGATATAATTCTTTCAAATTCATCATTTGAAGAAGAAGTCGGTCAAAGTGTAAGCAGAATCAAGGCACTCAAGGTGTCCACATCCTAATCCCTGGCACCTGTGCGCACGTGACCTCATGTGGTGAAAAGGACCTTGCAGATGTGATGAAGGGGATGGACCTTGAGATGGGAGAGCATTTTGAGTTGTCCAGGTGGGTCTACTCTAATCACATAAGTCCTTAAAATCAGAGAATTTCTCCCAGCTGCAGCCCGAGAAAGCTGTGAAGACAGGAGACGGGCCCCAGCATGCGACGTTGGTTACTTGGAAAATGTAGGAAGGGCCCACTGGCCCAGGGATGCAGGCAGCCTCCAGGAGCTGGAAAAGTCAAGCAATGGATTCTGCCCTGAAGCCTCCAGGAGCCAGCCCTGCTGACACCTTGGCTTGAGCCCCGTGCTGGGCTTCTAACCTATAGAACTTGAAGAGGATACGTTTGTGTCATTTGAAGCCACTGGGCTTGTGGTAGTTGTTAGGACAGCCATCGAAAAATAGTATAGATTTAAAATCTTAGCAAGAATAAGTAATTGGGAAATTATTCACAAACAAATTGCCAAAGTCGTATGGTCCCATGACGCAGGGGCCAATAATTTCAGAATTGCAGGATGCCAGTGGAAGCCAGCTGATGTGAGCATACACGGGGATTCAGAAAGACTGGGTGCCAGTCTCTGCTCCTTTATTCCTTACCCATGTGATCTCAGACAAATTGCTTACTGTTCTGATTCTCTATTTTTCTCATCAGTAAAATGGGGATAATAGTATCCACCGGGAGGGCTGTTATAAGGATTAGAACTAATAGATTGAAAAAACGAACCAACCCTATTGCAGTACAGGATCACCAGCAAGTGTTCAATCGTATCCCCTTCCCTACTATTCTGTGTTACTGACACACTAAGCACCATCCATGCTTCCATAACACGGTGGCAAAGGTATTTGGGCTGAGATCCTTAAACAACGAATATGAATTGCCAAAGTGGGTGCAAGACAAATGACCCTGTTTTGATTGCTAAAAACTAGTGGCTGAGACAGAACTGGTTTCGTGTAGGTCAGATGTGGACCATGTGAGAGACAGCCAGCGTGCAGGTGTGCACACACAGATACACACGGGGTCACCTCAGTTCCTGGCCAAGACGACCTCATGGAGGAAGGAACAGATCCTCACAGAGAAGGTTTTCCTTCGCTTTTTCCAGGTTCCCAGGAGCTGAGGAGGGCACAAGCAACCAGCTGAGATGGGGAGGCATTCGGCCTCATCACAGAACGATGGATGTGAGGTCCAAATGTTACATCCAAAAACCCAACGAAGGCTCTCGTGAAAGGAGACACCTTCAGACACTCGTTAGGCCTAGAGATGCAGTTCCTAGCTCACGGCAGGGCCAGTCAGATACGAACTTCCATGCCCCCCCTTCTTTCTCTCCTTCCTCTGTGCACTCCAATTCCTGGAGGAATCAGAAACTGAGTTTGCAAAATAAGAAAGGAAGCAAAAAGTGGGGAAAGGAGATGTCACCTGTGCCCCCCTTTATTCTCGCCTGCAACAGGCCCTAACTGGGTGAGCGACCACATTCACATTTAAATCAAGTCTGTAGCTTTGGCTGCTCTGTGGGACTGGCTATGGTGATTACTATAATCCCAGACAAACCAGAAAAAGGGCTGCTCATGGTTTCATCCGGGGGCAGAAGAACTAATTCAACTGAGCAATTTTAAGGGACAGTGGGAAACAAAATTAAGTTTAAGATTACAGCCCATGAGTCTTGCCAACTCCACTTCTAGGACCTGTGCACCCATCCATCCAGCTATCCATCCAGCCACACACCCACATATGGTGCCAAGCTACCACCTTCTTTCACCTGAATTACTGCAATAATCTCCTAATTGGTCTCCTGGTACCTACCCTTGCCTTCCTCCACTATACTGCATACTTTAACCAGCCTGCTCATCTTGAAATGCAAATGTAACCACATTCCTCTCTTGCTTAAAATCTTTCATGATTCCCCATTGCTCTTAGGATAAAAACGAAACTCCTTCTATAACTTACAGTGTGGCCCTACTCGCATCTCTCCTCTCATCCCATATCGCGCTGCCCCTTGCTCTCTGAGCTCCAGTCATGCTGCTCTTTCAGTCCTTTAGAACGGTTATGCTCTTTTTCTATCCTCGCTCCCTCACGCTGCCACTTCCTTAGCCGACTGCCACGTTGCCTGTCAGGACCTGCTTTCTCCTCCTAGTTCAAGTCTCGGCTTAATCGTTGCTTTCTCAAGGGAGCCTACCCTGACTTCCATCACCAGGGCGATTCCCTGATCCCACTCATCACTAAGTACTAATATTATTGGCAGTTAACAATTGTATAGCACTTTGATTATAATTATTATAGCAACGAATGCTTGACAGATGGTTATTACTTCTACTTCTGCTGTTAGCACCATGTACGTGGTCAAGAGAAAGAGACAGAGAGATTGACTGATGAACTGATTTTGTTAGGCATACACAGCAATATAATTAGCATAATAAGCCACAGGGTGTTTTTGACCCACAAGATTTCTGGCACTAGCTAATTGACCAGGGTCCTTAAGGAGACCAAGGTGCCGCCTGATACAGACATACGTGTGTGTGTGTGTGTGTGTGTGTGTGTGTGTGTGTAAAATTCTAGGGCTGATGGGCAAAAGCCTGACTTGAGTTACTGAAGTGGGAATTTATGGCCTCTTTCCCAGGTCACAGACCTAAACCAATTCACAGGCCCAGAGCCCCTTAATTGAGACATCTGGATACCCTTAAGAAACCCAAGATAGCCATATGCACATACTGAAAACCTTCCTTTAAACTTTTCCCAGAAGGTCCTTCATCCATTTACCAAGGCGACTGCATTAGGGGATTACCCAGACCATTCAGGGTTATTGGGCTGTGGCTCTGAACTAACGATAACCCATGGAGAAGCAAAGTGCCAGCATGGAGGCTTATGGAGGTGACAGATGCAGCCCAAGTCGATTTCACAGCGGGTCATGTGGGGCTAGACTCCCCCTGTGGCTACTTCTCCAGTCTCAGAATATATAATGGGAACAAACACTCTTGGTCACCGCAGAATCCTCACGTCTGGACCAGGGAGTAAGGGCTATGATGGTAAGGAGGGCCAGGTAGGACACCCAGCTCTTCCTAGGCAAGTAAGTGAAAAGTGACACCACTTCCCTGGGGTGAATGCAGAGACTGGTACCATCATCAAAGAATAAAAAGATGGGGGGCTGGGGAAGGGGTTGACTTCTGCCATGTTTCCATTTAAATCACCTGTTCGCTAATGCAAAAGCTACTTGGGTATTTGAAAATGACTGTGGATTATTGCAAATTTAATCAAGTGATGATGCCAATCACACATGCAAATCAGCACAGCCCCTGGCATCAGCTATGCAGCTACAGACATAGAAATGCAAATTTTCCTTTTCCTATCAGCAAAGTCTCCCTTTACATGGCAGGGAGATCAGTACACCTTCACAGTCTTATCTCATGGCCATGTCAATCAACTCACTTCTTCCGTAATATAATGTGAAGGAACTCTGATCAAGGCTTGCCCAGAGGGCTCTGCAGATATTTACAAAGTAGCTGTGCATCATGGACTATAATCACCACTAGCCCATTACACTGATATTACATTAACTGAACCCAGTGAGAAGGAAGTAACAAGTATCTCAGAGGCCTCGGAAAAATAGGTGTGTCAGAGGGAAGGAGATTCCCCAAGGAATTTTCAGGGTCTGCCATCCTGGAAAAGTTTCTAGGGATCCAGAGGTCTGAGGCAGGTTGAAATCGTCCCTCTAAAGACAAGCTGTTATGCCTTCTGCCACCATCACAAAGAAAGAGGCACATGCTTGCAAGGGTCTCTGGATGTTGGAGACTATTTTGTCCCGCTATTCTGACCCATTTTGGGGTAATCCACAGCTTTCCAGTTTTGAGTGGAGGATAGAGCAAGAAAAAGCAGTTGCAGAAGACTTAGCAGGCCCCAGTGTAAACTGCCGTCTCACCACAGCTAGCAAAGGTATTTACATGCCACAGAAGTGCCCACTGGTGGGCACCACGGTGGAGAAACAGGAGGAAGCCTGGCCTGTTCCCGAGGGGGCCACTCCGTCAAGTTCCCCAGGAAGCCTGGTGCTTGTTCAGGGGCTTCCATACAAAAATGGTCCTGGAGACGGGAACGGGGGCCGAGTGTTGGTTTGAAAACATGGACCTCTCGTCACTAAAGCTGAGCCGGCTGCTGCCCCACTAAGTACACAGTCTGCCAACAGCAGAGACCAATGCCGAGGCCTCTTCATGTGGCCTCTTTCTTCAGGTGGGCTTCCCAACTAGCTGACAAAGATTACACCAGACCCCTTTCATCATGGAGGGGGCAGTGATTTGTCTTGACAGTATAATCCAGATGGAAACCAGGTGGCCTTCTCGGCCTGAGACGCTTCTGTCATTGCCATCGTTTGTGGCCTTCCAGAATGCCTTGTCCAGCCCCATGATGTCCCATGCAGCACAGCATTTTTAACCAAGGGACTCATTTGACCGTGGTGAAGGTGTGGCGATGGCATCAGATCCACAGAAGTCACTTGTCCTACCACATACCCCATCACCAAAACACACTTGCAAGAAAGACTGGGTGACACAACTACAGACAGAGCCAGCTGAGAGCAGATGTCCTGTGGGGTTAGGGTGCTGCTCTCCAGGCTG